TTCCCCAGTGTCCTAAGAATCTGCCTGTTCCTTATTCATCGGGTCTTGGAAGGAAGGAGAGCGGTCTGTGCTTGCTTTTACTCTGAGTGTGGGGGTGGTCTCTTAGAGGAGGTCTACTCATTTAGATGCAAAAAGACCCAGTTCATTTTCAGAACTGGAAAATCAATCTTTAGTAAGAGCAGCACTAAAATAAATGCTTAATTTATTACCTTTGTAATGTACAGTTCCCATATATATATTCATATTCATTCTGGGACATGAGTTGATTCTCATGGATTCACTTGGGGAATCACAAACAAGTACTGTGCCCCTCAATCAGTGTCAAGTTAAAAATTCCATCTCTGCTCTCCACAATTTTTCCAAAGCATTTTGAATAAACTCACTGAATGTTTTCAAGAGCAGACTCAAAATCAACTAACAATTAGTGAGAGCCTTCAGAGTCCCAGGTTCTGTGCTGTAGTTTACATGGGTAGTGCCGTTTAACCTTCACAGCAATCCCAATCCATTTCTGAGGTGGGTATTATTTCCAGTTGTAGATGAAGAATGTCCTCTCAAATGATATATCTTGGACACATAGAAATAGTGGCAGAGCTGCTATTTTAAGTCACAACCTCTTACCCAGGCAGCGCCTCATTCCATGAGCCACAGTGCCCCCTATAGGCCAGATCATAATAATATCGGAACCAATGGGAGAGAGTAGGCGTGACCACAAAGCAAGGCCCACGCAGGAGGAAACAATTCTAAGCCAAAAGAGATTGAGAATGTCTCTAAATAATCCCAAAGATTTTTCTGGACTTATTTGTAAGGGCATGCTAATAATTTCTGAAAAGGTTATCAATCTCGGAGTTTAGAAAATACCATACTATAGTTTCTTTCCATGATAATCCTATTAGACAAGCTACAGCTCTCTGGGAGCTGGAAACGAAAAGCAGTAAATATTTTATGATATGAAATTGATTAATAAAAAATACACAAGGAATTTCCTACTGTTGTCATTTGTGCAATAACTAATATTTTTTAAGGAGAAAAGATTACTCTTTTTAAAAATCATTTTGATATCCACAAGCTCCATCCCCTAACAGTTGCTATTCAAAATTCCTATTTCTAAAACAAATTTTTCTGTTACCACATGATACATTGTGGTATAAGGGCACTTAATATGCAAATTGCTAACATAACTTAATATTATCTTCCCTCTTGTTGCTCTTTAATTTGGCATTGAACAGCTGAGGTTTGAGATTTTAATCAAGGAGCATTGAATGAAGCAATTTATAAAATCAATGAGGATTTTGAAAATATTGTTTCATTCACTGTTTATGACTACCAAATTGTAAAACAGTCTTAGAAATGCATGAACTGATTGCTACCCCTACAGCTTGACCGTGTCTAAATGCAGCCTTCTTTTAAAATAATATAGTGGAAGAATAAAACATGGAGCTCCAGCCCAATGGGTGGCCCAAGAAAAGGTATTTATCTCTTTAAGTCTCATTTTCATCATCTGTAAAATGGAGATAATAATAGTGCCTTTCTTTGTATGATCATTGAGAGGATTAAACAAGATAATAGCAGAGTGCCTGGCACATAACAAGTGCTCAGTTCTTATTAAGATAATGAATTTGAGCACTCATACCTAAACATTACTGTCGTTATATATTTTAAGGCAGAAATGTTCTAAGAACTATATTAAACACTATGCTTAGCCAGAACAATCAGAGCAGAAGCATGCAGAAGCATCATTCTCAGCTGCACACAGGAACTCAACCAGATTAGTGAGCTGATTTCCCATGTAGTACATGTCTGAGTAAGACAGTTGAGATAGGCAATAATTGCAGTTTATTATCGGCTCACTGCAACCTCTGCACTGCAACCTCATGCAGTATATTACAGCTGGCAATGTCCAGAAGTTAGGTAAGGGCATGTTGGCCTCCATTAAGGTTGTGCTAGAGGTTAGTAGCAGGAAGGCAGGGACTTGGGACAATACAGCAGTTGATCAGATTTAAGAAGATAGAAAATTGTCTAGGCAGCAACAGCAATAGATTAAGCCCAGAGAAAGAGAACTGAGGTTCAACAACCTGGAAAAGATCAAGCAAGAGGCAGGGCCTAAAGAACTCCCCAGGGACACAGCTCACTGACAACATTTGACTTGGACTGAGGCTTTTAACACAGAAGTTCCAAATGGACTCATGGATGTTAGAGGAAGCTCATTTCTTGATGACAGGCTTAGTCAGTGTAGGCCAGGGGTCATCCTATTCCCTCCATAAACTTGAGGTCAATTCACTGGAGGGTGAGAAAACCAAGTCTTCCTATCTGGGGCTCCCTGAGAGTGTGTATGAACACAGTGGGTCTGGCAGGCTGGTCAAGGTAGAGCAGAATCACCTTCCTTCCACCAGGCAACTTGTCCGCGGGTGACTGCAACCCCCAAGAGAGCTAAGGATGAATCTTCCCAAAAGGGGCCCTAGCAAACTGATGATCATGGCAGATAAAAAAAAGCTTAGCTCACTAAACTCCAAACAACTACACATAAAGTTTTCTTTTAAATTATGACTTGGATATTTTACCTAAGTGACAAACTAGAGACTTGGAAACATCCCAACATCTTATATTTTCATATTTTATTTTTTACATTTAGTGTCACATCACTGTCATCATCAATATTTAAGTCATTTGTTATAATCAATAACTTCTATTTGTATTCCGGGCAGGGCCTGCTTGCTTTCTGACAGCTAATTCTTTTTGAAAATCTGTTCTAACTTTTTTTTTTTTTTTTTTTGAGAAGGAGAGTTTCCCTCTGTCACCCAGGCTGGAGTGCAGTGGCATGATCTCGGCTCACTGCAACCTCTGCCTCCTGGGTTCAAGCCATTCATTCTCCTGCCTCAGTCTTCCAAGTAAGTGGGATTACAGGTGTGTGCCAGCACACCCAGCTGATTTTTGTATTTTTAGTAGAGACAGGGTTTCGCTATGTTAGACAGGCTGGTCTCAAACTCCTGACCTCAAGCGATCTTCCCACCTTGGCCTCCCAAAGTGCTAGGATTACAGGCATTGATTCTCACTTTTTATAGGCAGTCATGGGTAAGCCAGACTGCCATTCACTGAATATGGTCGTCCTTATCCCATGAGCACAGAGCTAAAGGATGATGATATGGTGGGGCTACAGGATGCACTCTCAAGTCCGTCTGATATACCTTATGGGAGACCAAATTGCTGGGAATATTTGAGGGAGGAAATATCTTCTACTAAAAACCAACAAGGAACCAGGAGGCTAAGCCAAATTAAATAAGGTAGAACTGTTAGTGAAGCTGTGCAGAGATATAAATGAACTTGATGACTCATGAACAGGGAAGAACATGCATTTATGCACAAAACACTTATGCTAGAATCGAAGCAGTACAGCAGTACAAATATAAAACAAACATATATTCTCATAGGAGTCCAGTAAAACCAAAAGGTTAAACACCCTAAAGCAACACTAAAACTTTTAGATATCACTGGATTCAGCAGCAATTGAGAATTATCTTGAATTAGGCTGTGAGAAGGTACAAAAATAGTAAATCCAAACATTTAACTCACAAAGTGATTTCTAATATTGAGTTTCCATCATTCAAATAAAATCCTAAAGTCATCTAATTTGCACTTTCTATTGGCATTCACAGCAAAGACATCCTAAACACTCAATTCTCACTTTATTTTTTATTCACAAATCATGAGTTAGACACAAGCGAGAAGCCCTGGCATTTTCCAGTGTGGTTCACGAGTGCCCTCTAGTGATAGTGAGGTCAGTTAGGATAAGCCATTCCCCCAAATAATTGTTTTAAAAAGTGAGGATTCACTAAATGTTCAATTTCTGCTGTCAATTAAAAATAGATCTTCTGCCACTTTTATTTGCATTGCTATAAACTCAACTTATTCTCTCTCTTCAAATCCATATCTAAGCAAAACCGTTTACTAAAGAATATGCAATGCAACCATCTGAAAACATTTCCAATACAGTAACTTTTACCTGATCCCAAAAAGAATACATTGTTTTGAGTGTTGGGAAACCTTTTTACCACATAATAAACATGATAACCAATAGTAAAGGAAAATTTTTGGAAGTAATATACTTGTGTAATTACTTCATTTCTCTAACTTTTCAGCATTTCAGTGACTGGTTACAAATGATCACAATGCTTAAATCCACAAAACCCTGGTTCATAAATCCCTCATCACTGATTTCTTCCCACTTTTGGAGTTTTTTAAAAATAAATACTTCCAGCAGTTTCCCTTATTCCTTAACTCTCTATCTCAGATTTCTTAAACTGGTGGCCTGTAGGTCAATTGTGGTCGGTAGGCAGGGTTGCTTTACCTTTTAAATTTTATTACTGGATGCTAACACTTAAAAAATACAGATTTCTGACATCTCCTAAAGAAAGAAAATCACATTTGGCCATGCTTGCCTGTATTGCCACAGGTTGACACATTCTCAGGAGCCAAGTGCGCTGCCCTTCGGGTGAGGCCTATGTTCTCCATGTAGCCAGGGGCTCAGGTCAGCCACCTCAGTTATGAGGGTGACTTACCTGGTCCCTGGAGGCATTTGAATTGCAACCCCTGAGTGGGTGACCACTTTCGATTCTTCCTGTAAAAGTTCTCTTTCTACTCCTTATAACCAATCTTATCTTCTATCATATTAGCACCACACAATAAAAGAAACACACAGCACATACCAAAAGAAATATGCTATTATAAAGAAAAGGAAAAAAGACACCTCCGTAATAGAGAAAGGAGAACACATAAATGCAATCTGTTTTCTCCAGACTTGATAAAGTTCACTTTGTGCTTATGAATTGTGTCTTCATTTTGAGGTGACAAAACTCTCACCATGGGTTCCTGTGTAGCAAATAAGCAACATAGATCCTCACTGTCACAAACCACCTGCTCACATCCCAAGATTTCTCTTAGAACCAAAGTCTAGGCTTTCAGCTGAATGTCAAGTCAGGACATAGAAAAAGAAACATGACACTCACGGGTGTGCTGCTGTCAGAGAAGGTGTTCATGCTGACAGAGCTGCTCAGCTTCTCTGAGGAGAGGGAGGGTGGGGATGGGCTCCTCTTCTCCAGAGGCTCCTGCCGCTGCAGGTACTCTCGCCATGCTCGCTGAATGCTGAAACAAAACAAAACAAAACAAAACAAAACAAAACAGCACACACATGATTACTGCTGGATCATAGCCCACAGACTCAGAAATTCACTGAAGACTCCTCAGAAAGGAGTCTGAAGGAATTGGCTTTGGTGACAAGGGAACTAGAACACACAGAATGTGATGTAGTTAACCAGGAGACCTGAACTTTAACTTCAATTCGGCCACTGAGACTGTCTCCTTGCCTTACTGGTTTGACTTTCACAGACTTGACTGCCCTCAACTGGCCTAAAAGAGTCAACTTAATAATAAAATTCATTGGTCAAAACAAACTAGTTTGCACAAGTCAATGTACTTTGATTTATGGAACACAAAACTCTTTCAATTTTTCATCTTATATTTTAAATGAGAATAATAAATAGGCTGACTACTACTTCTGCATTCACTCAGTGTGTGATTTCTGAGGGGCCATTCTGTGCCAGGGTCAGCCGTAGACTCTGAACAGGGACTCTGCCATGCACAGCTCCAGAGCTGTCCTTTGCATGACCGCAAGGTGAAGGGTGTCAGTGATGTGCCACACAGTCTGCATGGCCAAATGCAGTGACCCTGATGTGGGGCACAAGGCAGGCAAGAGTACCGCACCATGGGTTTTATATACTGTGGAAGGGAATAGGAAAAGGACAAAGATTATAAAGAAAGAAATGGACAAAGATTATTCAAGTGTTATGTACTACCCAGAGAATTAATGTAATGTGATCAGGCAGCTATTTCAGGTTTCACCTAAGGAAGTTATTTTCTGTGATTAGTATCAGAAGAAATAAATTATCTTCTGCTTAGGATAATAGAAACCTCTTCTTAGTATAAGCTAACGGACTCCCCCATGGACAGACTGTGTATTAGTCTGTTTTCATGTTGCTATGAAGAAATACCTGAGACTCGGTAATTTATAAAGAAAAGAGGTTTAATTGACTCACAGTTCTGCATGGCTGGGGAGGCCTCAGGAAACTCACAATCATGGTAGAAGGCACCTCTTCACAGAGTGGCAGGAGAGAGAATGAGTGCTGAGTAAAGGGGGAAGCCCTTTGTAAAACCACCAGACCTCCTGAGAACTCACTATCAACAGAACAGCATGGAGGAAATTGCCCCCATGATTCAATTATCTACATCTGGTCACACCCTTGACATGTGGGGATCATTACAATTCAAGGTGAGATTTGGGTAGGGACACAGAGCCAAACCATATCAGACTGGCTTCTGATCTTTGAGATTAACATCTAGGTTTTCATAGGGGGTCACTGAACACAATCTAACCTCTTCTGGGAGTCAGCAGTACATGCAGACCAGTTGTTAGGATTCAGCCTTTTAAAGTAATTTAAGATAGCTGTATTAATTCCATCACTATCTTTTCTAAACTCCTGGAAGCATCTGATCTTCTGTAATTCTTCCATGCACAACCTAAGTCGTTAAAGTTGTTTCTGAATAAACAAACTGATTTATTTTCATTTGACTGGAATAGTTCAAAGATCATCATCAATTCTCAATAGTCACAGGATATAAATAACACAAAAATGCTACCACATTATCGAATCTGTATGTTTTCCCTAATTTATTAAAGGTCTGAGAATTATAATGCTCAAGGAAAAGTCCAGAAACTGTAGTGAAAACAATACTTTTGGATCAGTGGCCAATTCCCTGAAGCTAGGAAACTTAAGCTTTAGGGGTTCTTCCTTAAAGGCCAGCAGCCTATTCCAAGACCCTGATGAAGGGCTCTTCATGATTTGTATAGAATTGTAAAAATAAGATATTTTTAGAGTTTTGTTTGTTTGTTTGTTTTTTGGTTTTTTTTTTTTTTTTTTTTTTTCAGGGACCCTTCAGAGTATACATACTTCAAGCCCCACTAAAGCAGAATCTGGCCCAAATTTGAATTATATTTGGTCACTGTTTTATTATGAAATCTTGCTCAAAGTGCATTTTTATTTCTGTTTTTCTTTGGCTTAAAGATTTTAAGCAGAATGGAAAAGGGAGTCCTGTAAGATTGCCTGCCTGAGTTTAGTGGTCTTATTGCTTCTTCAGGACCCATTATATCAGGGAAGAGTGAACTTAAGGAAGCTGTCAGTGATTTTCAGATCCTCTGAGTTGCCTGGGGTATCCCAGAGCCCAGCTAACAAGTTCTGCTGCTTGCAGGTGCCTCAAGTCTCTAAATCTGCCCATCAAAAGCTCAAAATGTGTAACATTTTAAAGGCAGTTTAAACATTAGAAAATGTTGACAACCCATAGACCACCCACAACTTTCTAGGACTTTGCGGTATTCTACACTGTCTTTTTTATTCCCCCCTTTAAATCATCTTCATTACTCAGAAAATATAAAAACAAAATACAGTGACCATTTGAGATATTACATTTTAGCTTGTTGAACACCAGAGGGCGGTGTGACACCTGTAAAGAACCAAATAACATTGGGCAAAGTTGAGATGAGCGGTTTGCAAAGGAGTTTGCACTTAAAACATCCTCTTCTCCCTCTTGGTTTTATGGAATTTGGAAATTAACATACCAGTTCTCCTTAAGTCAGATATTAAGGAGACAATATTATTTTATTCCTAATTAATGGATATCCTTTTTTTAATTTATAAGGTGACAATATTAAGTACTTTTAAAATATGTATTTAAAACATCTATACACCCACTGACTTTCTTAATACAGCAGCTATTTTATTTTGTAACATTTACTTTATAGTCATCCACATATGTAAAAACAATGTATTACATGATCTTATTATTTTTAAAACATGCTATAACATGATATATATATTTCTTGTTACTACTTGTCCTTCATAATTACAGTTTTAAGGACTAGATAAGCTGGACGAGTCTTTAAATTAGCATTTGGGGTTAAAAAATGACAGGGCCCTCATGTCACACCAGGCTATTACCCAAAATTGGTACACTGTTTTTTAACGATGGAGCTATGCTATGTTACTCTCTGTATCATAGAAAAGTGTTTACGTCACATGTTATTTACTCCCCTTGGCCATTCCTACAACATGACCTTCAAAGATTAAATTGTTCCAATATTAAGCTGTCTTAATACCATCTCCAGATGCTATTTTACTGTAAGAGGGAACTAAAATAAAATGTAGAAGCACCTCATCTCTCAATCATAATGAATCACTTTCAGACTTCTTCTCCTAGATGTACCATAATTCCTGCTCACAAGTCTCCTTTGTGGCTACAGAGTAAATTATACACTACCTTGACATATTTATTTCTGAAACTAGACAATGCTATTCATATAATTCTTTAAAGACTTGTTGAAGTAAGAAAGCACATGTTGTGTGTTCCTATATTTTGAATTATAGATAAAGTATAAGGGTTTACATCTAAACAGATGACAAATACATTTTCAATAATTTTTTTTGCTAGGTCAATTCCTATCTATCTTTTCTCATAGCAGGGGTGGCACAATCTGCCTGCTTCTGCCCTTTTTCTGTATATTCCTGTTTGTTTTACAGTGCAGTTGGCTCTCTCATGCACTCACAGCCATTTGGGGGACTCACATTCTGTGCAGTCCTGGTTGCCAAGGGATGTGTTTATCTAGAAGAGGAGAGGAGAGGGCTCTCAGAGAGCTAGGGTGCTTAGAGAAGGCTTGAGGGACCCCTAGGATTTTAATTAGTCCTAAAGCATGGATAGGATTGAGATTGATGGGGAGGAAGAAGATCTTTGGGCAAAGGCACAGAAGTGAAGACACCAGGCAGGAAGCAGGAGGATCCCAGAGAAGAGCAGTAAGTCTGAGGCTACAAAGTTGGGAAGAGGATCTCAGAAGCCACCTGAGGTCAGGTTGGGAGCAGACTGGGCAGTTGGGTGTAGACTGGGCAGTGTGGGCAACTCTGCTTTGGTGCAGTTGATAATTGACAGATGTTTCAACTTTTCAAGAACAGCCAGAAATGTTGATTTTTTTAACGAGAAAGTACTATTTCTTATATGTTACCAAACAATTATAAAAAATTCAAAATACATTATAACTCAAGTAGGCTGAATTTAGGGATGGACGAAAGAGGACACAATGAGAGAGGATACACTGAATCTGAGTATCTTGGAAACAATAGCTGATATACATAGAGCTCTTGTTTGTGTGCATTCTCCCATTCAATCCTTACCACAAGTGAGCTGTGAGGGAGGCACCATGATTATCACATGGGTAGATTTTGTGTGCCCAATATTAATTTCTCCTTTTCATTAGTTTTGCGGATCCACCAACTCTCTACTAGTGAGCTTTGGATGAAACAGATTCTACCCTATCACTGTAGACAGTGGCCCATTCCCCTGGGCTGACCAGCCAGAGGGCAGTGGTTGGTTCATTTTGGAGATGCACACATGGTTCAAGCCAGGTCTATTAAAGGCTGCTCTGGGGATTGTACTGAGACTACTGAGAAAAAGGCCCTCTTTTTCATCTAAAGTTTCAGCAAGCAGAGCTGTAACTACCTGCAAGCCTAGAGCTGGCAGTGGCCACTCTGTTGCAATGTTGGGAGAGCCCACATGAGAATGAATCATGGGAAGAGCAGAGTTTACAGAAGAGGAAAGACAGATGCCTGATGACCTTGCCCAGCCACCTGGGTTTCACTGTGCTTAAAGCACGTTAGACCATGAGTGTTTCTGTTATGTGATTCAATATAATCTTGTTTACATCTATAAATAAGTTTGAGTTGAGTTTCTGATACTGACAACCAAAGAGTCCTGGCCAGTCTCAGGGAACAAGATGGGAACTGATCATCATTCCCAACACTTGGAGCAGATGCCTGGCCCCCATTACATGTGGTCCCTCCTTACAGGTCAGCAAAAGGCAGAAATAGAGAAGCAGGGTGGGTTTGGCTTGTCATATACTGACTGTGAGTGGAGAAGGAGAACTCCTACTTGTTTCAGTCTGTTTGCTGATTTTTCTATGTGCAGCTAGCTAAAAGCTATCCTAACAGATATATCATATTTTCATCATTTGTTATCTATCCCAACCCTGTATCCTGATGCAAACTTGCTCAAATGTCAATACGGGGCCACTGCATGCAATAGGCAGGTTTCCCACAGAAACTGCCCTCTCTCTCCAGCCTGCTTCCCCTCCACTCCAGCATCTGCCCGGTTTGTAGCTCTTGACTTCACTGCCACACTGATGGATGATGCTTCCTATGCACCAGGGCCTATGCCGTCTTGGCTCTTTCCACAGGTCTCTTCTCAAATACCCATGACTCTGCAGACTGTCAAGAATGCCAATGTTCTCACACATGAGAATTGGGGCAATTTGGGTCCTGGATCTATAACACTCTTTTCTTTATGAGGACTGAGGAGGTTATAATGCACTCAGGGTTACTGAGTCTAAGAAAGAGAATAGTGGTCCTGCAATGCTATTAAACACCCAAAAAGAAGAGTATCAGATTAGGCCAATCCAATTGCCTCTTTTCAAACAAGTCCTCTTCCCCCACTAGAATGTACAATCCTTGAGGGCAGTGACCACTCCACAGTTCTGGGACATATATTACAGGTGATTAACAAATGTAATTCTTCTAACATTGCATCCCAGAAATAGCTCAAAAAAGAAAAAGTTTCATCTCATGAGAAAGCATGCTTAGAGTCATAGAGGTTCTTGCCTAGTTTACCTCTCATGAGCTGTAGCTTTAGACAAAATACTAAACATGCTGGCCTCACTCTTGCTTATCCATAAAATAGGAGTAAGAATAACATCTTTGTAAACCCTGCAAGAAGTCAAAGATAATGTATGTAAGTTACTTAGCCCAAACTTGACAAATAGAACTCCTAGATAAACTATTATAATTACTTAAGGAAAGGACATATCAAACACTTTCAAATACTTTGAAGTCACCATTGCAAGTCATCTAAGGATCCCTCCTGGCAATGTTTTATTAGCCCAAGTGGAAATAAAAATATGTTTGAAAAAAGTATGTTTGCATGGAAAAAATACACTAGACTAAATGTCTAGTCTTGAATTTTCTCATTGAAAGCTGACTACAATTTAATAAGATACGTTAGCATTCTCATTTTACAGAGAAGTGCAGCTGAGGCCCAGAGAGGCCATTGGTGTTCCCAAGGTCACACAGCAGGTAAAAAGCAGAGCTGGGATTTGAACCTAAGTTACTCAAATTCCAAAGTCTGTGCTCTCAACCACTCTTCTCTCATATCTTCTTTTAATTAAATTTTTGACTAAAGTAGATATGTATTACTCTCAAATGCAATTTAATAAGGGTTTACTAAACATCTTTAAAGTTCTTTAGGAAATGCTCTCTCTCTCTCTCTGTGTGTGTGTGTGTGTGTGTGTGTGTGTGTACCCCTTCTCTCCTTTATAAAACCTAAATGTTGTTTCATTGCAAAATCAAATATAATAATAAAAATTAGGAGAACAATTGAGCATATTTATTGAGCTGACTTTCAAAAAAGCAATTTGTATTCAATACATCTCTATGTTTTTCCATCACAAAGTAAATATATTGTTAAAATGTAAGGAAGGGGATTGGGGGATTACACAGAGCTAATGAACAACTTTTACACAAGGGTTTGTATTGGGAAGATCTGTTTTAGATCTTGCTACAACATGTAAAGAGTGACTTACAAGATGGAGGGCAGCAGCTTGCTGGGGCTTGGGGAGCCCACCTCTTCCTGTGCTGTGAGTGCGTCTCACTAAGCCTGCATTCCTTTGCTGTGCACCTTCATCCCCCAAAGCTTGTTCCAGCCTTAAGGCTCTTGGGAACACATTCATCTTTAGCCTTAGAGTTGCTCAGAGAGCCTTCCTTTTGGTGTTTTCACTATTACTTTTACTTTCACAAATTTTCTGACTTGAGAGGCTTGCCTTTGTTTGATCTTCGGAGAACTTGCCTTTTACCTCCCCCAAATGCCTTTTCATTAATAGCCATGTGATCTTGATTGCTTTTGCCCTTTTGACGCACTCTTTTGATCCTCTGGTCTAATACTGAAAATTACCTCTTAACAGTTGCATTCATGAACCAGGTAATGGACCCTTTCTGACACTCCCTTCAACTTTGATACACACACCCTCCCCGACACTCACACATTTTTTCACTGAGCCACACTTTCTGACAGGCCTCTGCCTCCCGCCACTGATACTTTGCACTGCCACACGCAGGTTTACACTTTCTTATAAATTCTTTCCTTTTCACGATGTCCTGAGTATGAGGAACCATCCGAACCCTTTCCTGCTATTCTGACTCCCATCCTGGGATTCCCACAGGTAGACAGTGAAGGCAGCCTACACCTGAGAACAGGTCTCATCTTTCCTCTCTTTAACATTCAGAGATTGCCTTGCCACAGCACCTCCATCCCCCTCAGGGCTTGCAGGCACTAGACTAGCCAGACACCCTGTATGGGAACTGTTTAATCTCTTCTCATCAGGGAGGGGAAAGGAGAGCCTTCAGGGGAGGGGATTTTATGATGGAGTGATCCTCACTTCCCTCTACCTCTGGGAGAAGACAGACTCTCAGTTGGTCCCCACCAAAAGAAGTCAAAAGGCCCTAAAAGAAAGCCTGTGATAATAGAGGATGACTGTGGCACCTTGGACAAGGCCCCATTTTTTAGACCCAATGCTCTGCAGGACTAAAAAACTTCTCTTGGAAAGCAGGAATGAGAATATCCCAAGATTGTCCCTGTTGAAGATGCCACGGTCGGCAGAGGAAGGCACTGTTTGGTGCATCATGGGGCAAAGCCCCCACAGAGCAAGAGGCACAAACCCAGTGAGGATGAGCAGCCTATACCATTGGGGGGGGCTTAGAGGAGACCCAATGACCCCTTCCCTCAGAGTCCCCAAACATAGGACAGTTGTTAAAGGGAACAACTGCTGAGAGTGAAAGTGTCTGCCATCTATTCACAGGAAACCCGGGGCAGTCTAGGTGTTTAGCACAGGTGGGTGGGAGAGATAACACTGATAAAGGAAGGCAGAAGGAGGGAGGAGAGAAGGGGAGATAAGTAAGAGGAGAGTGAAAGGAAGGAAGCAGAATACAGAGCTGTAGAAAGGTCTCCTGTAAGCAGAGGGGAGATTTTCAACCTGCCATGAGAGTTAAGAATTTAATAACCAGATTAGACAAAAGTCACTGAACTAGACTAAGCTCTCCAATGGGAGTCAAGTTCCATTATTCGGCAAGATTAAGTATTCTCTCCCTTCTTTCTCTCCAGTGAACAGACATGGGATTCAGAATTATTAGAAGAGATAAGAGCCATTCTGTTTGTACCTCATTGAGCTGAGACTCCTCCATCAAATCAACAAATATAAAATCTCAGGCTCTCTTAGCCGGCTGGAATCTGAAGCACAGAGATTTTGTCTTTGCCTAATCCTTCTCCTGGTACCTATCCCGCAGCCCCTACATATTGAAGATGATGAAAACTAAAAAAGACCCAGGAGTTTTTCTAACTTAATTTCAGCATTCACATTAAACACTCTAATTTTTCATACACCAACTTTTCTTTCACCAGCACATTTCATTTAAAAGAGCCTTATCTTAATGAGAAAATTCCTAATGATAAAGCAACCTATGTTGGCAAACTAAAGTCCTGTGTAGTGAGGCTGACACACTGCTTACACAAAATGATTCGATAGCCTGATTCATTATGTATTTAGTAAGTGTGTGACGCAGAACTTTCTAGCTGAGCACCCAACTGGTTCAGAAGTCTTGTTTGGACTTTATCTTGAGGGGTAACCTTACATGCTCATGTAGAGGCAAGCTTTTTACTGATGACCAAGGTTAACATAGATTTACAGGGGTATGTATTAGTATTTGCTTTTATCCAGCAGGATATTACGTATTTGTGTCATTTCTGCTTTAGTTCCTAAGTCCAGCAACAACTTGTTGTTGTTCAAAGTTGTACACACCTCAAGGTGCCCTTTTTTAAGGTGATTTCTTTTCTAAAAGGTTCCTCCTTGCACTTTAAAAAAATGATCAGTGATTCTGGCCAAGCTCAGATATGTTAACATTCTTGTTTAAATTCTCATGCTTCTCGGAGTGTTAAACTGAGAGAGAGAGAGAGAGAGTTTGTGAGGGAGGGGGTGGGGAGAGAGATTAAATATACACTCACTGGCATTTCTCATATATGCTTCTGAAGGAAAATCAGAACAGGAAAAGATCTCAGAAAACAGTCATAAATATTTTTGAAATTGCTTCCAATTATAATAGGCCCCTTCTCTACTTAAAAATGGTTTGAGAAGATTAATATTTTGCTCTATAATAAAGTCTTTCTCACTTTGGATATTGTTAGTTTCATTTTGTTAATATTGAAATGTTTTTAGCACTATTTTAAGGTAATAGTCATTTATAATAGGGGGAGTAGGCTTACATTTGGGTGTCTTAAGAGAGAATAAGAAGAAAAGGATAGGAAGTGAGAAAAAAGAAGAGAAGAAACATTTTCCCAAAATAATTGAACAGAAGCTGAAATAGATTTTTGAAAGGGTATGTGTTTGTGTGTGTGTGTTTAATAAATAAATGGCTTGAGGTAGAAATAACCAAATTATTCTAAGACAGAATTAACCAAGTTACTAAGATGAAAGGCAAAGGAAAATGCTAGTGGAAGTTAAAGGATTGTACTAGACCAGAAATGGAAAAACCAAGAGGTGGTAAAAGCAGTGGCAAGCAAATAATTCCCTGTACTACCCAGTAGATGGCGCTGTGCACCCAAAGTAGCTGTGTTCCGGCTTAGAAGAGGGAGGAAATAATGTGCAGCACATGAATGTAAAATAAAGATGCATAACTGTTGTACCCGAAAATTCTAGATTTATTCAGTAATTCATAAAACAAGAACTGTAGAACTAATTGCTTAATTTATACTTTGAAATAACTTACATTTTCACCTTTGATTCCAAGGGCTGTACATTGAGGGGATATTTTTCAATATTATTCTCCGTATCCATGGCCAGCTGGTGACTAGAAACAGAAATAATATCTCAATATCTCTCAATCCAGAAGCTTAACATTTATAGCAATAATACTGCTAATTTATACTTATTTGTAAAATAAGATATAATTTTGTTCATTTTAATTTATTAAAGTTCCTGTTGATGGACGATGGATAAGTAACCATATCATGAAAAAAAAATGTGACTTTGACTTTTTTTTCTGTTGTCCTTTTGCTGTTCTCAACTCAACATTCATAGCTATGGTATGAAAATCATTTCCTTTAAGAGAAAAGAAAAGGAGCACATTGGACAATTTCAGGGGGAGAAAAAACACAAGGAGAGGGTTATAAATTCCATGCTACTGGCCAACTAGTAAGATGTAGAGAAGACCTTACTCATCCCCAGCAGTACCACTGCCACTGGACCTTCCCTCCTTTCATTTTTAAGCTGTTTCAGGGCTTCCACTGGGAACAAAGCATGGATCTTTGACCTGTAGAAAGGCAGAGGATTATAGAGAAATGATCACTGCTTTCAGTGAGCTTACAGAACTCTTAGTGCTACAACAATCAAGAAGGGCTTCACGGAGAAGGCAGCTCTTGGGATGAATTTTGAAGAATGGATAGGAGGTAGGTAAGCTGAGAGTGAAAAGCAACATATGAGGAAGACTACAAAACAAATAGTAGAGGTGAAAACATTCAAAGGATAATTTTAGAAAATAAAGAGAAATTTGGTGGAAGTAGGTGAAAAAAATAGGAGAACAAAAGGAAATAAGCTTTGATAAGCAGAAAGCTAATAGTTACTGATCCCATAATGTGTATAAAACACTGTCATAGACATTTTATATTCATTATCTTATTTATCACAGTAACTTCCATTAACTAAGTATCACTTTCCCCACTGTAGAGCTGAAAAATCTGAAGCTTGCAGAGATTATGTTAAATTTACTGTACAGGAGGAACTACATTAAAACTCACATCTCACTCCTCTGTCCACCAGAAGGCACTGGTTGGAGTATTTTAATATCAGGATTATTATACTTAATCCCACTGACTGAAGTTTTCATAGGTAATATATTCAACATCCCAATTCAATACTCATGCATGTGGTAAGGTAGGGGCACGTGTGTGTGTGTGTGTGTGTGTGTGTGTGTGTGTGTGTAACAAAAATTTCAAGAAACATTACTTCCCCAACTACATGTGATGTACTTTGATTTCTGATTTATATTTGAAACTTTTTTAAAAGGCCAGTGTGACCCACCAAATTTATTGAACAAACCATCAATAGATTATGATCTACAGTGTGAAAAACTTTACAAAATTTTTCACGCTGTAGATCACAATCTATTGCAGCAGGGAGCTCCATGCATTTGGAGCAGGGAAATATGATCAATGGAGGGTTTAAGGATGATTTGTGGTGGGAGTGAGCAAGGAGAGTGAAATAAAATAGTTAGAAAGCTATTCAAATAGTCCAGGTTATGAGGACTAAGATTGCACTGGTAGTAAAGAAAAGGAAAAAAAAAAAAAAAAAAAGAAAGAAAGAAAGAAAAAAATTGTGCCGGAGAGATCCCTTAGAATCACAAATGTATTTTTTTCTTTTTAGAAAGGAATGATCAAGCGGTAGGAAAAACACAGGAGAGCACATAAATTCCTACATGGCAAGTAGGTGGTGTCCGCACCCCAAGATAGTTTGGGGTTCCTCAGCCTGGTTGTTGAGGGGCAAGGAAGCACTCTTGTTTACTCTGTGCCATTGGTATTCAGGGTGCATTACTAATTCATTGTTAATCATTTATTCTACACATATATTTAATGTCTCCTGTGTGCCAGGAATGATGCAAAGCATGGAGGATAAAATGGTGAAAACACTAGACATGGTCCCTGTTCCTGTGGTACCACAATCTAGGAGAACATGAACATTACATAAGTATTTGCAAGTGTGACAGATATCATTAAAGGAGAAGCACACAGGAACCTAATCCTGGGTAGGTAGGCATAGAAAGTGATATGATCTGGCTGTGTCCCCAACCCAAATCTCACCTTGAATTATAATAATCCCCACATGTCAAGGATGAGACCAGGTGGAGATAATTGAATCATGGGGGCAGTTTCTCCCATGCTGTTCTCATGATAGTGAGTTCTCACAAGATATGACGGTTTTATAAGGGGCTTCCCCCGATTGCTGGGCACTCATTCTCTCTCCTGCTGCTCTGTGAAGAGGTGCCTTCTGCCAAGATTGCAAGTCTCCTGAGGCCTCCCCAGCCATGTGGAAATATGAGTTAATTAAATCTCTTTTCTTTATAAATTACCCAGTCTCAGGTATTTCTTCAAAGCAGTGTGAGAATGGACTAACACAGAGAGTCTTATTTTTATTATTGTATGGTCTTGTAGAAATAGCAGACTTATGACAAGGATACTTTAAGACTCTGTTACTTATTAATTACAAATTAAGCAATAAAGTTATACATTGTAGGGCCTGTAGATACGTAACAAACAAAGACAGAGCCAATGTTTTCATAAAGAAAATAAAACTTCCACAATATTAACACATTTGCTAATTTGAGGATATAATTTATATATCCTCACCAAACTATAAACTACCAATACCTGTTGGTTTAAATCTGATAGCTTTAGTTCATTCCATCAATAATTGTCTATGGGTAATAAAGTGATTATGCCTCAGTACAATGTGTGACTTGCAATCACACATCTTCTACCAGAAACCCAGGCTGATTTAATAATTACAAAAATATGGCAGTCAGCCTAAGGTCTTACTTAAGTTAATAAGTGATTTTCATAAACAATGGAGTCCTAAGTAGCATTCCAATTAATGGCCTTACCAATTGCTCTTCTCTGCTTATTGGCACATGCCAAGATTTGCTAAGCTCGTGTGTGTGTGTGTGTGTGTGTGTGTGTACACAAATGCACTTGATTGGCTCTGCCAATGGTCTCAGATAGTATGGAGCTGCAGCTTCCCTCCCCTTCACACTAACTCTCTACCACAAAACCCTGTTGAGCATTCAGAATAAATGTAATGTTCCAAGGGGGAATAACCGATCAACTGTTCTGACACCACTATCACTTAACTTATGGTCATTTCAAGTAGCTGAGATGATTTACATCAGCACCTAAGTCAGCTGCAGCTATAACGAAATGCCTAATCTGCTCACTCAAAGTACACCAATTTTTCAATCAAATTTGACAGCTTTCAAGGACATAGTCCTGACCTGAAACAGACCAAAAAAATCTCCAGGATTCCAGGCAAATGGGTATAGTTGTTAGGGCTGGCGGTCACTGCTTATTTTCTCTCTGTCCTGGATAAGCATAAAAGGAAAGTTTACCCCCATGGGCCCATGTGCTTTGAAGGAAGTATTTAATTCCCATTGCCGGAATTTCTCAATCGGGATTGAAAAAAAATAAGCACACAAAACAGACTGGTTATTTCCAGAAGGTTTTAGCTTTCTCAGGCCTCTGAATAATAAAATGGAAAGAGTAGGGTAGGGCAGATGGAAGCCCACATATATACCATTAATTTTCAAATATCGTCCTGAGAGCAGACAGCTGAGAAAGATACACACTGGTGTTAGTGAGAGGTTTAATATAGAATTGTGGTCAATTAACAGAACAAAAAAAACCTTCATTTCCTACATCAAAATCAATAATGGGAGGCGCAGTAGCTTATGTCTGTAATCCCAGCACTTTGAGGGGCCAAGGCGGGTGGATTACCTAAGGTCAGGAGTTCGAGACCAGCCTGGCTAACATGGTTAAACTCTGTCTCTACTAAAAATACAAAAATTTGCTGGGTGTGGTGGCAGGTGCCTATAATCCCAGCTACTCGGGAGGCTGAGGCAGGAGAATTGCTTGAACCCAGGAGGTGGAGGTTACAGTGAGCCGAGATTGCACCACTGCACTCCAGCCTGGGCGACAGAGCAAGACCCCATCTCAAAAAAAAAAAAAAATCAATAATGAAAAACCATCATGGTCAGGTTTAATAAATAAATGGGCCAAATATCATAGAGAAAGTGTGTCCTCGGAGAATTAAGCTGCATGAGGAGATTACTGAATAAGTGAAATGAATCTAAAATATATTTACACTACTGGTTCTCAATCCCAGCTCCTCGTTAGAGCTACATGAAGGAAGATGTTAAGAAATACTGATTCCAGGGCCTCATCCCCTGAGAATCTAATTCAATTTGTCTAGAGTGGAGCTTAAGCCAGGGCATTTTTATTAAGCTCCCCAGCCGATTCAAAGTGCAGCCAAGGTGAAAAATAACTGATTTAGCCTAATGTCATTACAACACTAATCTCTATAAAAGAAAAGTCTTCATTCTAGAGTCAGCAAAAAACTCTTTAGGTATTGTTTACATATAGCTAGTGATGGTGATGGTGGAGGGAAATTCTACCATTTTATTCTTATTTATTCATATTAACGAGAGTAGGCGTAATAAAAATATATGAACAGAAACTTCATTTGTCCAAAGGGCTGAAACTGCCTTTCAATGTGATGACATGGCAGATTCTTAGGATCGTGCAGATGTAATGAACCTTTGAGACTGTCTTGTCCAAACCCTTGCCCAGATGGAAAGGAAAGGAGCCAGCATTGAAGGCATCAGGCTATTATGGGCTGTCTCATTTAATGCTCTCAATAAGACAGTCAAGTCAAGACTACTATTATCATTTTTAAAGATGAGTATAGTGGGGCTCAAGGTGGTTAAAATTTTTGTCTAGACTGACAAAGCTTAGAAAAAGTAGAAAGAGGCATCAAACCCAAAGTTTTCCATTTTCTAGGATATTTTTTAGCAACATTTCAGATGTATGGTCATTTACACTCTTCTTGGGCACTTCCAGTATCTTATCAGCTAGTGGGGCTCAGCACGTACTGTAAAGTATGGTGTTTGGCATGCTCAGTTCTTTGAACCGAAGGAGAAGAGGCCTCAGAAGCAAAGTCTCTTTCTCTCTGACCTTCTCTTGCCCTTCTGTCCCTGCCCCTCTTTCTTCCATGATGCAAGCCATAAAAACCAGAATTCCTCTTCTACAAGGCCGGTCATGGAAACTAGAACCCTTCTCCCACAAACAAGCTACAAAATCTAAAAATATTCCTCTAAAGTTACCCTGCCTTTCTGTATAAAATCTGGTCATAAAGAAATTCTCTGACCTACCTAGTCTGATGGAAAGTCCTAAGACCCTCATTCCAGAGGTTCTTGCCCCATGCCCAAGAGGAAGGAATGCTGCACAGAGAGGCCAAGAAGAATGTGAATAGACAGCCTTGCTGGGTTTTCCCACCTCATATATTAGATCCTTCCTTTTTGTCCCATGACATTTCTACAGGGCTGTCCATTCTTCATCAAAATTAAGTATAAAAGTGAACAATTTTCCCCAGGTTTTCATTTCTGAAGGCTCCCAAGTCACATAGAATCCTGATTAAATAGACTGGGCGCAGTGGCTCACACCTGTAATCCCAACACTTTGGTAGGCTGAGGTGGGCAGATCACTTGAGGTCAGGAGTTTGAGACCAGCCTGGTAACACAGTGAAACCCTGACTCTATTAAAAATACAAAAATTAACCCGGTGTGGTGGTACGTGCCTGTAATCCCAGCTTCTCAGGAGGCTGAGGCAGAAGAATCACTTGAACCCAGGAGATGGAGGTTGCAGTGAGCTGAGATAGTGCCACTGCACTCCAGCCTGGGTGACAGAGTGAGACTCCATCTCAAAAAAATAAAATAAAATAAAGAACCCTGATTAAATAAGCTTGTTGTGCTTTTCTTTTGTTAACCTGTCTTTTGTTACAGGAGTGTTGGCTGTGCTCCTTACAATGAGTGAGGAAAGGTGTGATGCCTTCCTGCCCCTACATGGCTCACTTCTTAACAAAGTTCATTCTGTTTGGGGGTAGGCTGAACTTTTACAGAATCTTTTCCTTATCTGAGTCACAACGCTGTTTCTCCATATATCCTACTCATTGACTCTTGTTCTATTTTCTGGAGCAGGAAGAGCAACTTAGCCTCTCTTTTATAGGAGCATCCGTCAAATGTTTGAGGATAGCTATTACGTTTCTTCTGAGACTTCTTTTCTCCAAGCTACACATCCTCAGCTCCTTGTAATAGTTTCACATGGTTCCAGAACTCTCACAATTTTAATTGACCTCTTTCTAATACTCTTGGGAATGTCAATGTAATTCTTAAATGTAGTGTCCAGAGCCAAGCATGACACCCAACTGGCTTGACTGGTCCTGAGTACATTGGGGCTCAGCCAGTGATTGAGAGCAAGGATTCTGGAGGCAACAAAACCTGGGTTTATTTCCCATTCTCACCACTCACTAGCTGAGTATACATGGAGTTGCTGAAACCTCTCTGAGCCTGTTTTTCCTCATCTGTGAAATGGAAATAATAATGCCTATATCAAAAGGCTATAATCAGAATTTGATGAGGAGTGTCTGTGAGCGTTCAACAGTACAGGGTACATTATAAATGTTTACTTTTATCTCTGTTCAATTTCATCTCTTCTTTTTGCTTTATCTTAGCTCAATTTTGTCCCATTCTGTAGTGTTAATCTGAATGTTCAGTCTATTAGTCTTAGTGTTAGCTTTGTACTTTTCACAAATTTTGTACCTGCCTTCTATAAATGTCCCGGATTAAAAGACTAAGACAGGTCAGAGTTAAGTTTCAGCCCTCAGACATACCACCAGAAACAAATTCCAGGCATCGTATTACTCTGTTAAGCAGTAGAGCTTGCGTATCATTGCTCAACCAGTCATACATTTATCTACCCCTATCTCAAATGAGCCACCTTTCTGGGCTCTGACCACAATGATAACAAGAAACTGTCCAATTTACTTATTTTTACCAGAAAGATTTTCATTTTACTCAAGCTTTCCAACCATGCAAATGATTTAACTTAATGCTTTTTACTTACTTTTCAAATAAATATTTTCCATCATTAACTTGTTCTAGAGGATTCTGCAATCTTTTCAGTTCTTCCTGTGAAAAAGAAAAGATATATCTTACAAATTATCACCAGCTACTTCTGAGCAATACTATTCAAGCATACTTGTTAGCAAAATTGATACAACACAACATTAAGAGTTCTGGACTGCACTTTGGTAGGCCGAGGTGGGCGGATCACGATGTCAGGAGATCGAGACCATCCTGGCTAACATGGTGAAACCCCATCTCTACTAAATATACAAAAAATTAGACGAGCGTGGTGGTGGGCACCTGTAGTCCCAGCTACTCGGGGGCTGAGGCAGGAGAATGGTGTGAACCCGGGAGGCGGAGTTGGCAGTGAGCCGAGATTGTGCCCCTACACTCCAGCCTGGGTGACAGAGCGAGACTCCGTCTCAAAAAAAAAAAAAAAAAAAAAGAGTTCTGGACTTTGTGCTGGTTAAGTGTTTAAACACACAAAAATACAGCATGATCCTTGATCAAATTAGAATATTGTCACTCAAATTGTGCGATTTTTTTTTTTTTTTTTACTCAAGATAATGTTTCCTATTTTTTTTTTTTCAGAGTTTGGATATGTTTACATAGATCCACCCACACTCTTTCCAAATTCACTTTCTCAACAGTAATGTCATTGCTGATTGCTGGGTAAGAGACACTAATGACTGCATGCTGCATTTGGCCATTCAGCAATCATCCTCTCTTGTCTCTTAGTGACTCTTGGCAACCTCTTCTCCATAGCCCACATGCTCAGACACACACACAAACACACACACACACACACACACACACACCCCTTCCCTGAATTCCAGGCATTTGTTGTCTCTGTAATCTCATTTCTCTGACCACAGAGGTGTGACAGGATTTGACCCACGTTCCTGGTAAGACTCCCTTCTTCAGTCTTACCATGGCAGGATTTAAGGAAGACTCACAGAACTCTGTTCCTGGGAAGACCACCATTCCCTGAGGCCACACTACCTACCATACCATTCACCACACCACTTACCCCCCACCAGAAACTGTCAAAGTGACCAGTCCCAAGGGGAAGCCGCAGTTAGAAATAATTATTCAATTACATCCAAAAGACCATCAGGACTAGTCTCTCTACATGCTTATAACCCACCAGATACCCAAGTCGCCTAGATCACCTCTCCCACTACGCAATCTCTTAAACCCATACTGCATTCCAGAATGTGGCCTAATCACCCACCTCTCCCCAGTCCTTCCAACCTTTCCAATGGGTCCTTTACAGTCTGTCATCAGCAAAATCCTGTATCTCCCCAACTTCTTTGAATATGCCCTTAATTATGTTGTTCTAACTAAACTATGCCTCACTGTTCTGGGACAGCTAAGTTTTTGTTAGAGCAAGAAGAGCAAATAATTGTTCAGAAAAGAGGTCTAGTATATAGAGGATTTTGCATATGAAAAAGTTGGCTGAGTACCTGAGCACACCCCGTCCCCTGCAGTCCTCTTAAGAGGTGGCCATTTCTTCCCCACATGCTACATACTACATGGTGTGGAGGTCGGGTGGGACCCTCTTTGCTCCTCAGATCTTCGCCACTCCTACAAAACCTCTGGAAACATACCAGCTGCCAGTCTCAGTCATCTGTCCTCTTCTCTATCTATCTTAACTCCTCAGGGGATCTCAGCCGGTCTCACAGCTTCTATTTTATATTTGTACCTGACCTCTTCTCTAACTTCACTCTTCTGTATCCACCCTGCCTACTTGACAGTTCTATGTACGTGTTTGACAAGCATCTCAAGCTCAAAAGCAAAATGTTGATATCCCTGCTTATACCCTCCTACCCAAACCTCCTTCTTCACTGCTTCTTCCTCATTTTAGCAAATGGCATCACTATTCACCAAGCTATGAAGAGTTAAACCTAAGAACCAGACTTTACTCATTTCTTCCTCTCACCATCTATAGTCAATCAATGAGCTACTCTTATTGACCCCACTTTCAAAATATATTTGGGACTTGGCCACCTCTCAGTCTGGTCTAAGCCAACCATGGTAATCTTCTAATTATTGCCCTGCTTCCTATGTTAGGCTGCATCAGTCACTTCTTACATCAGCCTGAGTGGTCTTGTAGTACCTGGGTTTTCTTTTGTAATTGGAGTATAATTTACAAAGTATGAAATGCACCTTATAAGTACACAATACAGTGATTTTTATCAAACGCTTCCATTGGTAGAGCCACAGCCAAAACAATATATAGAACATTTATCATTCCCAGGAAGTTCCTTTGTGCCCCTGTACAATCAATTTTCCTATCCCAAAGGCACCCCTGTTCAGATTTCTATCTGTGTAGATTAGTTTTGCCTGTTCTAGACTTTTGTATAAATTTATCTATTGTGTCCAGCTTAATTAACTCAACATTGTATTTTGACATTTGTCCATGCTGTCCGTTGCATGTATCAGTAGCTCATTTCTTTTTATTGCTGAGTAGTTTTCTATTGTATACATACACAATAATCCATTCTCCTGTTAATGGGCATTCTAATTGTTTTCATATCCATATGGCCTAGTATGAATAAAGCTGCTATGATCATTGTTGTGCAAATCTGTTTGTGCAAGTCTGCTGTGCAAGTGTGTTTGTGGATGTGTTTTCATTTTTCTTCAGTAAATATCTAGGAATGAAACTGCTACCTTATGAGGTAAATACATGTTTAACTTTTATTTTTATTTATTTATTTATTTATTTTTGAGATGGAGTCTCGCTCTGTTGCCCAGGCTGGAGTGCAGTGGCGCAATCGTGGCTCACTGCAAGCTCCGCCTCCCAGGTTCACACCATTCTCCTGCCTCAGCCTCCCGAGTAGTTGGGACTACAGGGGCCCACCACCACACCCACCTAATTGTGGTATTTTTAGTGCAGACGGGATTTCACCATGTTAGCCAGGATGGTCTCGATCTCCTGACCTCGTGATCCGCCTGCCTTGGCCTCCCAAAGTGCTGGGATTACTGGCATGAGCCACCGCACCCGGTCACGTTTAATTTTAAAGAAACTTCCAAAGTTTTCTAAAGCGGTTGTACTATTTTATATTCCAACCAGCAATGTAGGAGAAGTCTAGCTGCTGTACATTCCCACCAACGTTCAATGTCAGTCTTTTTCACTTTATTCTCCTGGATTTGTGATATCTTATTGTGACTTCAACCTGCATTTCTCTGATAACTAATAATGTTGAGTATTTTTTGCATGTGTTTTTAACTGAGTTATATGTCTTATTTTTCAAGCAGTAGAAGTTCTTTATATATTATAGGGTACAACTCTTTTGTCAGATGCATGTGTTGCTAATATTTCTTCCCAATCAATATATTTTGACAAGCAAATCTTTTCATTTTGATGCAATGCAATTTATTATTTTATTTTTGTTATTTAGTATTTTCTGCATCCTAAGAAATATTTTCCTGCCCTAATGTTGCAAATATAGTCTCCTATATTTCCTCTTAGAAAATGTATAGTTCATTTACATTTAGGAGTACAGTAAATTAATTTTTGTGTATGGTGTGTGGTAAGAATTGAGATCAATTTTTCTTCATATGAATATGAGCGTAAGTCTACTAAATGGGGCTTCTGTATAAACTATTGTTTTCTGATACCAAAAAAAAAAAAAAAAAAGAGTCAGCTGGCATGTGGCTTTTAATGTTTGGTCTTCCTTCTTCCTGCCGGGATCATAGTAATGAAATCCAGAGTACAAAAGCTATTGTGCCTATAAGGAGGAAAACCACACATTAAAGTTAATAAAATAGAAAGACAGAAGGTGCGTGGGACCCTGATGAAACCATGGAGCTGCTACTTCAACTCTGATCTACCAACATCTGAACATACTTGTCATGCAAGAAGACCAACCTACTAATTTATTGATTCATCATAGTTAAACAAATGTAGATAAGTGATATATTCCTCTTCATAATTCAGTGGTTTTCCATCACTTTTGGAATAAAATCCAAACTCATCACCATGGCCTATAGAACCCTATGTAATACGAACCCCCACCTATCTCTCTGACCTCACTTCCTACCACCCTCTATACATACAACTCACACTTATCTAGCCATATTGGTCTTGGGGTGTTTCAGAAATAGCCATGGTTGCTCCCTTTTAGATCACATATCTTCGCTGTTCCTCGTACAGAGAATATTAATTCTGTGCACAATTACAATCAACATTACCCTCACATGGCTTCCTCACTTCATCCAGGTGTTTGCTCATATATTGCCTTCTCAAAAAAGCCTTCCTTGATTGAACTCTCTAAGACGTCACCCATTACTTACTGTATATTTACCGTGCTTTATGCTCTGATTCACTTCTTTATGATCTTCATCACTTCCTAACATATTTGTGTTTCATTGTCTCCATTCACTAGATTGTAGGCACCATGGAAGTAGATTTTTCATCACATCCACCATTATATTTTCAGTGCATAGAATAGTGCCCAGCACATAGCAATTGCTCAACCAATGTTAATTATTTAAACTTTACCTCAAGATTTGGAGAAGAACTTCAGTTTATTCCTCTGGATTTTGGAGTGTTAGGATTTTGAAGTGTGAGGGACACTGGAACTGTGACAGAAGTATTTGCGTTTGTGACAGGTACTAACTGAAGGAAAAATATAACACAGCAAAGGGGATGGAGACAAAGGAAAAAGAGCCAAGAGGCCAGAGCCAGGGTGATGTTGTGAACATCTGTTTCAAACTGGAGCTTGAAACCAGCACATTGATGGACTTTTCAGTTTTGTCAATAGATTCTATAGATTCTTTTTTTTTTTTTTTTTTTTTTTTTTTGAGACAGAGTGTCACTCTATCACCCAGGCTGGAGTACAGTGGTGCGATCTCGGCTCACTGCAACTTCTGCCTCCCAGGTTCACGCGATTCTCCTGCCTCAGTCTCCCGAGTAGCTGGGATTAGAGGCACCTGCCACCACACCCAGCTAATTGTTTATATTTTTACTAGAGATGGGGTTTCACCATGTTGGCCAGGCTGGTCTTGAACTCCTGACTTCATGATCTGCCTGTCTTGGCCTCCCAAAGTGCTGGTAT